CACCCACCCCGGAAAATATATGGATCCGCCTATGACAGTGTTTCATAAACCATGTTCGTGATATAGTCAGAAGCTCATAAAAGACTATGCTCTCTGGTCGAGACGTCCTAAGAATAGGAAAAGGGTTTGATAGTTCTTATTGTAAATGTGATTTTCTCCTTCGTGGTTACGAGTGTAGCGTACACGTGTGTTTGTCAAATGGTTACCTAAAGACGGCCTATGTACTGAACCCTGGCAGTAGAAAGGACGTGGACATGAAGACCTATGTACTGAACCCTGGCAGTAGAAAGGATGTGGACATGAAGACCTATGTACTGAACCCTGGCAGTAGAAAGGACGTGGACATGAAGACCTATGTACTGAACCCTGGCAGTAGAAAGGACGTGGACATGAAGACCTATGTACTGAACCCTGGCAGTAGAAAGGACGTGGACATGAACACCTATGTACTGAACCCTGGCAGTAGAAAGGATGTGGACATGAAGACCTATGTACTGAACCCTGGCAGTAGAAAGGACGTGACATGAAGACCTATGTACTGAACCCTGGCAGTAGAAAGGACGTGGACATGAAGACCTATGTACTGAACCCTGGCAGTAGAAAGGATGTGGACATGAAGACCTATGTACTGAACCCTGGCAGTAGAAAGGATGTGGACATGAAGACCTATGTACTGAACCCTGGCAGTAGAAAGGATGTGGACATGAAGACCTATGTACTGAACCCTGGCAGTAAAAGGATGGATGAAGACCTATGTACTGACCCTGGCAGTAGAAAGGATGACATGAACCTATGTACTGAACCCTGGCAGTAGAAAGGATGTGACATGAAGACCTATGTACTGAACCCAGTAGAAAGGATGTGGACAGACCTAGTACTGAAGGATGATGGACATGAAGACCTATGTACTGAACCCTGGCAGTAGAAAGGATGTGGACATGAAGACCTATGTACTGAACCCTGGCAGTAGAAAGGATGTGGACATGAAGACCTATGTACTGAACCCTGGCAGTAGAAAAGGATGTGGACATGAAGAACCCTGGCTATGTGACATGAAGACCTATGTACCGAACCCTGGCAGTAGAAAGGATGTGGACATGAAGGCCTATGTACTGAACCCTGGCAGTAGAAAGGATGTGGACATGAAGACTATGTACTGAACCCTGGCAGTAGAAAAGGATGTGGACATGGAGACCTATGTACTGAACCCTGGCAGTAAAAAGGATGTGGACATGAAGACCTATGTACTGAACCCTGGCAGTAGAAAGGATGTGGACATGAAGACCTATGTACTGAACCCTGGCAGTAGAAAGGATGTGGACATGGAGACCTATGTACTGAACCCTGGCAGTAGAAAGGATGTGGACATGAAGACCTATGTACTGAACCCTGGCAGTAAAAAGGATGTGGACATGGAGACAAGATAATCTTTTGTTTGTTTGATGTTTACCGCCGCACTCAGAAATATTCCAGCTATATGTTCTGTAATTAATCGAGTCTGGACAAGACAATCCAGTGATGAGCATGAGCATCGATCTATGAAACTGGGAAACGATGACATGAAATAAGATATTAATTCTGGATACATCATCCTGAAATTACGCAAGTGAAGCTATGTTGAAGGAATTGCGGTAGTTTGGGCTGAGCAACCGGGATGATCGCACGCACTGAGTGGCCTGTCACAATGATAATCAGGGGAAATATTCAACGTATGAATCAGGGGACAAAAAGACGTCCTACCAGTATACATGAGGTTAGAGGAGACGACATCTGCGGTAGCTGTGGTCCGCATGTTTGTTACGCTAAATACACTATTCCCCAGGTGAGGAGTCCCGAGACAGCTGTGTCGAGCGAGGTCCTCTGAAAAAAACAGGCGTACGTCACAGAGGAACGGTACGTTGTTTGATGTTGGTAGTACGTCCAAATACGTCTCACCACACAGCATCACAATCTACTATGTCATGCAGATAACCTTTGGAAGACGTTAGAGGCATGTGCTACATCTGTCCCATGAAGTACAGGGGGGCGTTGACTGGGTCTTACCTAGTTTGGTTTTAAGTCATCTGAACACCTGTAACAAGGTATATACTTAGGGATAACCATTTCTCAGTAAAGTACAGATTCTAGTACTTTTGAGGTTGAGTCACATCCAGGATTGAAACCCACACTTTCAGAGTGAAGCACCAAAATGGCACTGTGTATTCATATGGCGCATGTGGATGCAGTGTCTTCCCCCGTGGCTGAAATTGGCCACGCACTGCCATCAACTTGTGAGTGCCACCAACAAGATATATTGATACTCAGGGAGAGTCTACGTAATATGGATTCTCTGGTCACAGTCGTTAATATTTCTGTTTCATGGTATCTATGGGTCCAGTTGAATGGGATGGTACTTCCCGATGGCCGATTGGACAAACGCACTCTCAGTAGATTGCGGGGGACATCTGCGGTTTGAGGGTCTTTTGGTGTTTGGTGATTGATGAGCCCGAGACCGTAGGTACAAAAGTGGCCATCCCACTGAAAGCGCAAGTCAGCCAAGCCTGAATTATGGCCATGAGGAAGTGGTGGGAATCAGTGGTGCGGGGTTCTCTGATGACATGACCTAACATTGCTGGAAATACCATCTCTTTACAGGAGCATGTGCCTCACAGCATTTCAGCAATATGTTTATCTTGATCATGCGTATACTGTCAGTTATATACACTCATGTACTATATATTTAGATGGGGTTCAGAATCCGGTGCATTAGTGGTTACTGGAATTACTTATTAGATTACATTTCCGTATTTCGATTTGAATGTGTTATATTGTCAAGCAAACCATACAAGGAGTAACAAACAGGACGTGTTATCTTCATGTCGGGCCTGGATCTTGACAGCTGCAACTGGAATGGAAGAGTCGAAAACCTGCAGGTGCGTGTAACATAGTGCAAGGATGATGTCAGGAATGTATCTTTGCTCCTGCATCAGCTATGTTAACTGGGTTGGACGGGTACGACGACCATCAGCCGAGCTGGTGTTACCACTCGATCCTTACTGTAGTCCTTCTCACGACAAAGATGGAGGGTTTTGTTCCTTTATCTAGTTCAGGCTTCTCACGGGATATGTAGCACACTGAACGGGGTATGTAACACGCTGGACGACATGCATAGCATGCGTAATGTAATGTCTGAACTAAACGAATGTATAACTTGACTACATACATAAATATTTCCTGTTTGGATCCAGATGAACTGATATTCGAAAACTCAAGATGCCTTCCCATATAAACTACAGCTGAATAGTACACAATTATTAACAACATCATGATGAGCAAAGTTCTATTCTTCTGTAGGTCGAACATGATACTCATTTTTATCTCCAATATTATACATTGTACAGCCCCAACTCAACATATGCTGACACATAAATAGCTTCCCTTGCACAAAGCAACAGGTAATGCCTGGAAGTATCCAATGGATTCGTTGGTTGGTTGGTTTGTTGTTTAACGCTGCACTCAGCAATATTCCAGCTATATGGCGGTGGTTTGTAATTAATCGAGTCTGAACCAGACAATCCAGTGATCAACAGCATGAGCATCGATCTACGCAACTGGGTATACGATGATATATGTCAGCCAAGTCAGTGAGCCTGACCATCCGTTAGTCGCCTCTTACATGGGTTGGTGAAGACCAGTTCTAACCGGGATCTTGACGGGTAGTGTCCAATGATCGGGTTGCTGAATACCAGTTCTAACCGGGATCTTGACGGGTAGTGTCCAATGATCGGGTTGCTGAATACCAGTTCTAACCGGGATCTTGACGGGTAGTGTCCAATGATCGGGTTGCTGAAGACCAGTTCTAACCGGGATCTTGACAGGTAGTGTCCAATGATCGGGTTGCTGAATACCAGTTCTAACCGGGATCTTGACGGGTACTGTCCAATGATCGGGTTGCTGAAGACCAGTTCAAACCGGGATCTTGACTGGTAGTGTCCAATGATCTTATTAGATGATTTAATGTGCCTGACTAATATATTATTGAGAAAGTCAGCAAAATATTCATCTGCAAGAAACTTGAGTTCTCTATCGCCTTGAGTATTATTTAGTACTTACATGTTAACTTCTTATCGGTGTAATGTTTCAAATAGTTGACAGCTACATCCTACAGCTGAATGGCTTACTTCTTTGGTGGAAGTAATCAGATGAGAGGCACAGGATCCATTCAGTGCACTACAGAACAGCACTGACATCTTGGTACACTTTGAGAGTCTCTAACACCACTTTGCAATAAAGGAACAATTTCTTCAGCTGTACCTGAGTCTAATAACATTCAAACGTGAACTCCTGTATATTTATGTTTGAGATAGTGTTGTATGCTTAGTTAACATCACTGAAGCTCATCACGAAAGCTTATAGGTAACTGACTCAAGCTGTCAGTACAATGACGTATCACTGCAAGTACAGCAATAAACAAAAACACCAACCCCTTCCCCATGTATATGGAAATTCATTGTAGAAGGACTGACAGATTACACTCGGTTTAAAAGGGAAAATAGCAATGAAAATAATTTGAACAGATCTTTGAAAATCAGTGATGCAAGTGTTGAGAAATTTCAGTGAAAAGTGGAAGTCATTGTACTATTCTGACTAATCTCAAGCTTGTGTGTGTATGAATCACAACTAAATCCTGACACCAGGTGTTTGACAGGTGCCGCATAACAGATATCATCACAGGATCTTTCTTTTCTTAACAACAGCCACACTCAAACAGTAATCTGGTTTAAAAGTTCATCTAATTCAATATACATTTCTATACTGGAGAAGGTGGCAATATGTCATCATGTTGCACATCCAAAGGGGAATGAAGAATGGCTAATATGTGGATAGACTGTAAGATAATAAAGAATGTACAGACACCAGCCTGAATGTCCCCACTGAACAGATGCCTGGGCTGAAGACTGCATGTCTTCATATCACTAAACTGAAGAAATGGATTAGAAATAAAAGCTGATAACTAAGACTGACATCACTCCAAATCTCTGATTATTTATTCTTCAAGTACCATACAGCATAGCATGAACAGTCTTGTGAGCTCCTTCAGGCATGTCTTGTCTGACCAGATTAAAACAATGGTAAGCCAGTTCCTTCAGCTTCTTGCATTTGGACAACATCATTTCCCCATACAAATATACACCCATGGCCTGCAAGTGAAACATTAGACTGTCAGTGAAAGAAAAGTCTGCCTTTCCACGACAAAATCTGACAACAATTTTACTACCAATTTGTTTAATTTCTGTCAAAAAGCATGTTATTATGTGCTCAAATGATTTTAAAATTTCAATTAAGTCAAACCTATTCCTTCCAGTAGTACCCATTTTCCAACAAGCAAATCCATTCAAAATGCCAAACAATAATCAGTTCTGATAATATGCTGAAAAAGATCCCATTGGCATCAAAGAGCAATACAACAACAACATGTTGGAAATTACTCTGAAATCTATGAAAAGCCATTTATCAGAAACATCAGAATTCCATAGAAGACAATGTGATGGGTAATAAATGCTTTACCTACATAATCACCTTTAATCAGATGGAGCAAGAAAATGACCATTAACATCCTATTTGTCCTCCTCCACAGATTACAGTAATCAACCCGACCTTACTCTCTCATCTTGCTGAGATGCAGTTAAACTGCAAATGAGGAGCCCTGTAGAGAATACCTGATCATTCAGAAGGAATGTTTTGACATCTCCAAATCCAGATGCATGTCTGTGTTTGATGACCAGCTCACACCATCGGTGCCGGACCTGCACAGGGACAACGGATGTAGCTGTATTTTCATTGGATTTGTCTTTACAGTGGAGACAAGAACATAGATCTTTGGTGGGACCAGCAAACACTTCCATCAGAACCACCTCTTATACCTACACATTTCACCTTTAATATATTGCAATTAATCATTTTCAAATTTAACTGGTGATATGTGATGACAGGTTTGACTGAACCATGTTTTGCCTCAATCCAAATAATGGATCAGTAGGCTGTTGAAAGAATGCTGATGTCAAACAGATGTTGTGTTGTAGGAATCTGCCAACAAATGATATAAAAGGAGTAATACCATTACCAATAAAGGTTCAACTTGTTTTGTTATCTGTGGAATAAAACATCCAAAGAGAAATCTAAATCATCAAATACTACATTTCCCTTGAGAGTAGGAGTGTTGTGTGTTGAAGAATAACTTAGCATTACAAAAAATAAATCGTTGCAATAATATAACTACTCCCGACTGAATGAGCTTAATGTTTCATCATGAGTGTTTCAGCATTGGAAGATGGTTGTTTTATGTTAAAATCCATCAACATGACCACTGCAATGAGAGATAAAACCCAATCCTTCTTCCAAGGGCAAATAGCTATCCGGCACATGAAGCCATATCACTCTCCATCTCAACAATATCCTAACCAGGTATTCTATATGGACCTTTGTTTCGGTAATCACTGTCACCAGATCAAGGTAGTCAAATACACTCATGGACAGAAATAGGGGACATGATCTTAAGTTAAGTACTTGCTGACATTACATCACTTTTTCCTTTCGAAGATGACAAAAATGTTCAACAGTTCAGTGCAAAACATATCACTGTTTCTGTACTGAAAACAGCAGAGCCATCTTGTGTTGTTTCTCCTTATTGTTATTTTCAGGGTTGTTTTCAGTGTCCCTGTCCTATGCTAGTGCTGCTGATATCCCTAGCATTGTTTTCAGTGTCCCTGTCCTATGCTAGTGCTGCTGATATCCCTAGCATTGTTTTCAGTGTCCCTGTCCTATGCTAGTGCTGTTGATATCCCTAGCATTGTTTTCAGTGTCCCTGTCCTATGCTAGTGCTGTTGATATCCCTAGCATTGTTTTCAGTGTCCCTGTCCTATGCTAGTGCTGTTGATATCCCTAGCATTGTTTTCAGTGTCCCTGTCCTATGGTAGTGCTGTTGATATCCCTAGCATTGTTTTCAGTGTCCCTGTCCTATGGTAGTGCTGCTGATATCCCTAGCATTGTTTTCAGTGTCCCTGTCCTATGCTAGTGCTGCTGATATCCCTAGCATTGTTTTCAGTGTCCCTGTCCTATGCTAGTGCTGCTGATATCCCTAGCATTGTTTTCAGTGTCCCTGTCCTATGCTAGTGCTGCTGATATTCCTAGCATTGTTTTCAGTGTCCCTGTCCTATGCTAGTGCTGCTGATATCCCTAGCATTGTTTTCAGTGTCCCTGTCCTATGCTAGTGCTGTTGATATCCCTAGCATTGTTTTCAGTGTCCCTGTCCTATGCTAGTGCTGTTGATATCCCTAGCATTGTTTTCAGTGTCCCTGTCCTATGCTAGTGCTGTTGATATCCCTAGCATTGTTTTCAGTGTCCCTGTCCTATGGTAGTGCTGTTGATATCCCTAGCATTGTTTTCAGTGTCCCTGTCCTATGGTAGTGCTGCTGATATCCCTAGCATTGTTTTCAGTGTCCCTGTCCTATGCTAGTGCTGCTGATATCCCTAGCATTGTTTTCAGTGTCCCTGTCCTATGCTAGTGCTGCTGATATCCCTAGCATTGTTTTCAGTGTCCCTGTCCTATGCTAGTGCTGCTGATATTCCTAGCATTGTTTTCAGTGTCCCTGTCCTATGGTAGTGCTGCTGATATCCCTAGCATTGTTTTCAGTGTCCCTGTCCTATGCTAGTGCTGCTGATATCCCTAGCATTGTTTTCAGTGTCCCTGTCCTATGGTAGTGCTGCTGATATCCCTAGCATTGTTTTCAGTGTCCCTGTCCTATGCTAGTGCTGCTGATATCCCTAGCATTGTTTTCAGTGTCCCTGTCCTATGCTAGTGCTGCTGATATCCCTAGCATTGTTTTCAGTGTCCCTGTCCTATGGTAGTGCTGCTGATATCCCTAGCATTGTTTTCAGTGTCCCTGTCCTATGCTAGTGCTGCTGATATTCCTAGCATTGTTTTCAGTGTCCCTGTCCTATGCTAGTGCTGCTGATATCCCTAGCATTGTTTTCAGTGTCCCTATCCTATCCTAGTGCTGCTGATATCCCCTAGCATTGTTATCAGTGTCCCTGTCCTATGCTAGGGCTGTTGATATCCCTAGCATTGTTTTCAGTGTCCCTGTCCTATGCTAGTGCTGCTGATATCCCTAGCATTGTTTTCAGTGTCCCTGTCCTATGCTAGTGCTGCTGATATCCCTAGCATTGTTTTCAGTGTCCCTGTCCTATGCTAGTGCTGCTGATATCCCTAGCATTGTTTTCAGTGTCCCTGTCCTATGCTAGTGCTGTTGATATCCCTAGCATTGTTTTCAGTGTCCCTGTCCTATGCTAGTGCTGTTGATATCCCTAGCATTGTTTTTCAGTGTCCCTGTCCTATGCTAGTGCTGTTGATATCCCTAGCATTGTTTTCAGTGTCCCTGTCCTATGGTAGTGCTGTTGATATCCCTAGCATTGTTTTCAGTGTCCCTGTCCTATGGTAGTGCTGCTGATATCCCTAGCATTGTTTTCAGTGTCCCTGTCTATGCTAGTGCTGCTGATATCCCTAGCATTGTTTTCAGTGTCCCTGTCCTATGCTAGTGCTGCTGATATCCCTAGCATTGTTTTCAGTGTCCCTGTCCTATGCTAGTGCTGCTGATATTCCTAGCATTGTTTTCAGTGTCCCTGTCCTATGCTAGTGCTGCTGATATCCCTAGCATTGTTTTCAGTGTCCCTGTCCTATGCTAGTGCTGTTGATATCCCTAGCATTGTTTTCAGTGTCCCTGTCCTATGCTAGTGCTGTTGATATCCCTAGCATTGTTTTCAGTGTCCCTGTCCTATGGTAGTGCTGTTGATATCCCTAGCATTGTTTTCAGTGTCCCTGTCCTATGGTAGTGCTGTTGATATCCCTAGCATTGTTTTCAGTGTCCCTGTCCTATGGTAGTGCTGCTGATATCCCTAGCATTGTTTTCAGTGTCCCTGTCCTATGCTAGTGCTGCTGATATCCCTAGCATTGTTTTCAGTGTCCCTGTCTATGCTAGTGCTGCTGATATCCCTAGCATTGTTTTCAGTGTCCCTGTCCTATGCTAGTGCTGCTGATATTCCTAGCATTGTTTTCAGTGTCCCTGTCCTATGGTAGTGCTGCTAATATCCCTAGCATTGTTTTTCAGTGTCCCTGTCCTATGCTAGTGCTGCTGATATCCCTAGCATTGTTTTCAGTGTCCCTGTCCTATGGTAGTGCTGCTGATATCCCTAGCATTGTTTTCAGTGTCCCTGTCCTATGCTAGTGCTGCTGATATCCCTAGCATTGTTTTCAGTGTCCCTGTCCTATGCTAGTGCTGCTGATATCCCTAGCATTGTTTTCAGTGTCCCTGTCCTATGGTAGTGCTGCTGATATCCCTAGCATTGTTTTCAGTGTCCCTGTCCTATGCTAGTGCTGCTGATATCCCTAGCATTGTTTTCAGTGTCCCTGTCCTATGCTAGTGCTGCTGATATCCCTAGCATTGTTTTCAGTGTCCCTATCCTATCCTAGTGCTGCTGATATCCCTAGCATTGTTATCAGTGTCCCTGTCCTATGCTAGGGCTGTTGATATCCCTAGCATTGTTTTCAGTGTCCCTGTCCTATGCTAGTGCTGCTGATATCCCTAGCATTGTTTTCAGTGTCCCTGTCCTATGCTAGTGCTGCTGATATCCCTAGCATTGTTTTCAGTGTCCCTGTCCTATGCTAGTGCTGCTGATATCCCTAGCATTGTTTTCAGTGTCCCTGTCCTATGCTAGTGCTGCTGATATCCCTAGCATTGTTTTCAGTGTCCCTATCCTATGCTAGTGCTGCTGATATCCCTAGCATTGTTTTCAGTGTCCCTGTCCTATGCTAGTGCTGCTGATATCCCTAGCATTGTTTTCAGTGTCCCTGTCCTATGCTAGTGCTGCTAATATCCCTAGCATTGTTTTCAGTGTCCCTGTCCTATGCTAGTGCTGCTGATCTCCCCAGCGAAGCTAAAGGTTAGCTGACAGACCCCTTGAAGTAATCTCTATGGGGAAAGAGTATGTGCAAAGATCTTGTTCATAAATACCTACATCTGGATTAGCTGATGACAGTAGGTATATCCTATGTACAAGGTCAAGGACATTTCCTGATATGAGGTTGAGCTGCAGAAGGTTCTCAAGAAACAGCACAAGCTGGTCAGGGTCAAGCTGAAACAAAACAGTCACACTGAGAAATCAAGCAATATATTTCTTGCAACGGAAGTTGTTACTTTCTACATATAAACTTTTATTAAAACTGATGTTGATATTGCCAATACCTATGAACATTAAACAGTATATGTCACTCTAGCTCTCTTTCAATATTCAACAGAACATGACAGCCTAATTCTTTCAATATTCAACAGTATATGTCACTCCAGCTCTTTCAATATTCAACAGAACATGTCACCCTATGGCTTTCAATATTCAACAGAACATGTCACTCTAGCTCTTTCAATATTCAACAGAACATGACAGCCTAATTCTTTCAATATTCAACAGTATATGTCACTCCAGCTCTTTCAATATTCAACAGTATATGTCACTCTAGCTTTCCATATTCAACAGTATATGTCACTCTAGCTTTCAATATTCAACAGAACATGTCACTCTAGCTCTTTCAATATTCAACAGAACATGACAGCCTAATTCTTTCAATATTCAACAGTATATGTCACTCTAGCTTTCAATATTCAACAGAACATGTCACTCCAGCTCTTTCAATATTCAACAGAACATGACAGCCTAATTCTTTCAATATTCAACAGTATATTTCACTCTAGCTTTCAATATTCAACAGAACATGTCACTCTAGCTTTCAATATTCAACAGTATATGTCACTCTAGCTTTCCATATTCAACAGTATATGTCACTCTAGCTTTCAATATTCAACAGAACATGTCACTCTAGCTCTTTCAATATTCAACAGAACATGACAGCCTAATTCTTTCAATATTCAACAGTATATGTCACTCTAGCTTTCAATATTCAACAGAACATGTCACTCTAGCTTTCAATATTCAACAGAACATGACAGCCTCAATATCTATTCTAAAAGATTGAAAATGCCGACAGTACACTTTTGGTATTACTTCACACTGTATTGATGTCATCACGCCATTGTAATCTGCTCCCTCATAATCAAACACATCCTTGGCATTAAATGACTCGTTCCTACTGATATTCAGCATTGGAAGATTATCATATTATGTCAAACTCCATCAAAATGACTACTGCAATAAGAAACTAAACCCACCTCTACTTCCATTCATCATGAATGGCCTCTCACTCATTCTATGCATATTCATACATAGTCTTTCTCACTCGTATTCATACATTGTCTTTCAAGGACATGAATAATTCATGGTATCAAATAATTTCTCATAAATCCTTCATATTTGACATTTGTAATGGCCTTTAATTAAGTTTGAAGAGATACGGAAATTGTTTTAATCTGTTTAGCCTCTGTTGACTGTTGTTTCATTGTGTTGTTCCCAGACATTACAGGACACTAATCACATTATTCTGAAGGTGAAGTACCAAAGGTAAGGACTACATCTGAACTATTCTGAGAAATGTGAATCATCAATATCAGAGATCAGTGAATCTTGGATGTCAGCCCAAACAGATTTGTGAATGAGTAACTGAAAGTATGTGATAACACCTTATGTTTGCAAAAATGGTAAGCAAGCCATAAAGACGTTATACAATCAAAAGTCTGGTCTTAAGTCAAATTATTAATTCATATTGATAGTTTCCTTCAGTGGCATTTTAGAAGTTGGGTAATACAATATTGACAAACATTATGGATAACAGTTTCTTCTATTTCATGAGTGCAATGCTTCGATATGTGGAACTCACAGTATAAAGAAGCTTGTCAATATTATATTGATATTTCCTAAGTGCAAACAGCATACAAGGAGACATTACTCCAGATACCACAAACATGAACAGATCTTAACTTGTCACACCTGGAAGGTAAACAATGTCCACCTTTTTGGACAAAACATGTACTCAGGTTGAAGAAATAATGATTTTAATCTAAATTAATCGATGAAGGTACTTAATCGTATTGAAAGTAGCAATAGTTTGCTGTCACCATCTTTCATACGGTAGGAAAATATACAAAAACAATTAACAAAACCCTATGCCGGAAACAAAACTTACTAAATCATCTACAATTATATTCATTATGATCATAAAGTTCCTAAGATGAATGTATTACTTTCACTGATGAACAGTATTAACGTGAGAAATTAGCAAATTTCACAGATACATAAGATGAGCAAATATAAGTGATTAAAACTGGGGAAAAGATGTTTTAATCTTCAGCATTTATGCCTACTTGTTTCTACAAATATTGAACTTGTTCCTATTACAATTCAGATGAGAATATTTTCATAACTCAATATCATGCAGTTACGGCTCTCGGCTCACTGATGAGTCTTCTCATGCCACTCCATGGCATAAAATCTTGCTGCATACTGTGGATTCACGCTTCATGTCATCATATTCTAAGACTGCCTGTGATAAAATCTAACTCCATCTTACTGCACATTGTGGGTAAATAAGAATTTCCTTAAAAGCAGAAATATGCCACTTAGTTTAACAATAACAATTTGATGTAAGGCAAAGTACAAAAATATAAAATGAGTGAATTAATATTTAACGTCACATCAGCTATATTTCAGCCATATCATTGGATTGGCATTCTAGAAGTGCCAAATCAGTAATGAAGCATGTCACTTTTTGGAGGACAAGTTCTTGTTTACTGCATAAAGAGATGTTTCAGAGAAGATTCTTACACCATTATCAAGCTAAAAGTGACTTTATGAGCTATGTAATAAACAAGAAGTTGTCATCCATAATGTTGTATGCATGTAATTGACTCACCAATTCCTAACAACCTTTAGCTTGACAATGGTGTAAGAATCTACACCCAAACATCGTTTTATGCAATAAACAAGAAGTTGTTATCCATAAAGTTATATGCTTTATTATTGACTAACCAACTTCTAGAAAACCGATCAAACTATTACTACAGTGATTGAGATCATTAAAGAAAGGACTTTTGCTAAGGTTTGCTAAATTTAACTGTTCATTACATCTGACTTTATTATAGTTGAGGAGATAAAGAATGTGACACTTATAATATTTTATATCCTAGATGCAAGAGGGTTCTTACATCTTATCAAGAAGATACTGATAGAAAAGGGTTTGCCTCATATATAAAAACCCTGGAATTTTTGCTTGACATGCTGAATGCTCAAATCCAATTGTTTTGTAAATAACCCTCAAAAAGGTAAATTGTTCTCAAGCAAGGAGTGAACCACAAAAAATTATCTCCACTAAAAAATTCTCAGTGGTCCCCAGATTACTTCAAGTGGCTGTTATAACTTTTCCATTATTCTTCAATACTCATGTCCCGGTTACTCTATGGATATTTGCAACTATCTTCAGGCATGCACCTTCATTAACCCACATAAACATGCCACACACACATTTGGAGCATGACCAAACTGCCATATCATTAGTCATAACACAACATCAGCATGAACTACACAGTCATAATCCTCATCAGGTTAAAACCTGAATGTCCGGCATCACTGTCATGTCCATTGCCCCAAAGCCTTAATGAACCAATAAAAAAGCTCACTAATGACAGGTGATGTGCCACTATAACCACTATGGGTGCTGTCAAGGGAACTGTAAAACTCTATACAATGGTGATTAACTGGTAGCATAATTCACTTTGTCCCTGGAGAACTGCTCTACACTTACACAGAGAAACAGAACATGAGAGCCTGTCATCAGTTGGCAGTGTCTAATAAAGCCAGTGTGTTAGGACAGTGTTCTGTCTGAAAGTGGTTTATGGGCAGGGTGTTTAACACTGTCTTACCAGAGCCTTCATTACAAATGTCTGTGTGTGTGCTGTGTAACACAGTTCTACCATAGGCTGCCTTACAGCTGTCTGTGTGTGTGCTGGGTAGTGTAACACTGTTCTACCATAGGCTGCCTTACAGCTGTCTGTGTGTGTGCTGTGTAGTGTAACACTGTTCTACCATAGGCTGCCTTACAGCTGTCTGTATGTGTGTGTAGTGTAACACTGTCCTACCATAGGCTGCCTTACAGCTGTCTGTATGTGTGTGCAGTGTAACACTGTTCTACCATAGGCTGCCTTACAGCTGTCTGTATGTGTGTGCTGGGTAGTGTAACACTGTTCTACCATAGGCTGCCTTACAGCTGTCTGTGTGTGTGCTGTGTAGTGTAACACTGTTCTACCATAGGCTGCCTTACAGCTGTCTGTATGTGTGTGTAGTGTAACACTGTCCTACCATAGGCTGCCTTACAGCTGTCTGTATGTGTGTGTAGTGTAACACTGTTCTACCATAGGCTGCCGTACAGCTGTCTGTATGTGTGTGTAGTGTAACACTGTTCTACCATAGGCTGCCTTACAGCTGTCTGTATGTGTGTGTGGTGTAACACTGTTCTACCATAGGCTGCCTTACAGCTGTCTGTGTGTGTAGTGTAACACTGTTCTACCATAGGCTGCCTTACAGCTGTGTCTATGTGTGTGCAGTGTAACACTGTTCTACCATAGGCTGCCTTACAGCTGTCTGTATGTGTAGTGTAACACTGTTCTACCATAGGCTGCCTTACAGCTGTCTGTGTGTGTGCTGTGTAGTGTTACACTGTTCTACCTTAGGCTGCCTTACAGCTGTGTGTGTGTGTGTGTGTGTGTGTGTGTGTAGTGTAACACTGTTCTACCATAGGCTGCCTTACAGCTGTCTGTCTGTGTGTGTGGTGTAACACTGTTCTACCATAAGCTGCCTTACAGCTGTCTGTATGTGTGTGTGTAGTGTAACACTGTTCTACCATAGGCTGCCTTACAGCTGTCTGTGTGTGTGTAGTGTAACACTGTCCTACCATAGGCTGCCTTACAGCTGTGTCTATATGTGTGCAGTGTAACACTGTTATACCATAGGCTGCCTTTACAGCTGTGTGTGTGTGTGTGTGTAACACTGTCCTACCACAGGCTGTTACTACCATAGGCTGTTCTACCATAGGCTGCCTTACAGCTGTCTGTATGTGTGTGCAGTGTAACACTGTTCTACCATAGGCTGCCTTACAGCTGTCTGTATGTGTGTGCAGTGTAACACTGTTCTACCATAGGCTGCCTTACAGCTGTCTGTATGTGTGTGCAGTGTAACACTGTTCTACCATAGGCTGCCTTACAGCTGTCTGTATGTGTGTGCTGTGTAACACTGTTCTACCATAGGCTGCCTTTACAGCTGTCTGTGTGTGTGTGTGTGTGTAACACTATATGTTCTACCATAGGCTGCCTTACAGCCTGTAGTGTAAAACTGTCCTACCATAGGCTGCCTTACAGCTGTCTGTATGTGTGTGTAAACTGTTCTACCTGTTTACCATGCGGCCATAGGCTGTCTGTACAGGCTGTGTATGTGTGTAGTGTAACACTGCTGTCTGTGTCTGTGTGTGTGTGTAGTGTAACACTGTTCTACCATAGGCTGCCTTACAGCTGTCTGTATGTGTGTGCAGTGTAACACTGTTCTACCATAGGCCTGCTGTCTTGAGTGGTAACACTGTTCTACCATAGGCTGCCCTTACAGCTGTCTGTGTGTGCTGTGTGTAACAGTGTAACTGCCTGTTCATGTAGTGTAACACTACATGGGCTGCCTTACAGCTGTCTGTATGTGTGTGTAGTGTAACACTGTTCTACCATAGGCTGCCGTTACAGCTGTCTGTGTGTGTGTGTGGTGTAACACTGTACCATAGGCTGCCTTACAGCTGTCTGTATGTGTGTGCAGTGTAACACTGTTCTACCATAGGCTGCCTTACAGCTGTATGTGTGTGCAGTGTAACACTGTTCTACCATAGGCTGCCTTACAGCTGTCTCTATGTGTGTGCAGTGTAACACTGTTCTACCATAGGCTGCCTTACAGCTGTCTGTATGTGTAGTGTAACACTGTTCTACCATAGGCTGCCTTACAGCTGTCTGTGTGTGTGCAGTGTAACACTGTTCTACCTTAGGCTGCCTTACAGCTGTCTGTCTGTGTGTGTGTGTGTGTGTGTGTGTGTGTGTGTGTGTGTAGTGTAACACTGTTCTACCATAGGCTGCCTTACAGCTGTCTGTCTGTGTGTGTGGTGTAACACTGTTCTACCATAAGCTGCCTTACAGCTGTCTGTATGTGTGTGTGCAGTGTAACACTGTTCTACCATAGGCTGCCTTACAGCTGTCTGTGTGTGTGTAGTGTAACACTGTCCTACCATAGGCTGCCTTACAGCTGTGTCTATATGTGTGCAGTGTAACACTGTTATACCATAGGCTGCCTTACAGCTGTCTGTGTGTGTGTAGTGTAACACTGTCCTACCATAGGCTGCCTTACAGCTGTCTGTATGTGTAGTGTAACACTGTTCTACCATAGGCTGCCTTACAGCTGTCTGTATGTGTAGTGTAACACTGTTCTACCATAGGCTGCCTTACAGCTGTCTGTATGTGTGCAGTGTTACACTGTTCTACCATAGGCTGCCTTACAGCTGTCTGTGTGTGTGTAGTGTAACACTGTTCTACCATAAGCTGCCTTACAGCTGTGTCGCATGTGTGTGCAGTGTAACACTGTTCTACCATAGTTTTGGTCCCGCTTTGTCCGCGCTTGGCGGCACGCTATGTATATAAGCGTGTGTTCACACCGAGCTTCATTCCTCGACTCGCTGTGGGCGATACAGCATGCTGAATGCCAGGTACATTGTTATTGCAGAACACAGAAGGTGTCTATATCTGGCAGCTGCAGGACTAGTACTTCTTGAAGAGCAGGAGAAAAGGCAGTAAGAGCACGAGAAAGAGCATGAGAAAGAGGAGATACAACTGGAACAAGGAAAACAAGGCCAGTTTGGGTTAGAGAATGGTTGTCTAGAAGACATGAATTCGGACATTGTGTTCAGCCACTGACAGAGCTCCACAAGGAAGATCAGGCTATGTACAGGAATTACCTGAGAATTACACCTGAGCTAGTCTAAGAGATGGCGACGAAGTTAACGCCTCACCTTAAGAAACAGACCACATTCATGAGAGAACCGCTTGAAGTTGGACTCAAGCTGGCTGCCACCCTCCGCTTCCCAGCCACTGGAAATTCCTATCCAAGTCTACAGTACAGCTTCAGAGTTAAAGCAAGTACAATCTGCAAGTTCTTACCAGAGGTGTGCAAAGCCATTATTGAGGCCTTCAAGGACGAAGTGCTCAGCTGCCTCAAAACTGAAGAGGAGTGGCAGGAGGTTCCTGTTGTTCTCCAGCCTTCGTCCATAACTGGGATTTGGCAGCCAGATTGAGCCAGTCATTCTGTCTCTTATCATACAACTCTCTGTAGTGTTTTACATATTCTACTATTTTTTTGTTTTGGTACCCTCATCTGTAACCTCATACTCAGGAATGTCTTTCTTGGACACTCTGAATATCGTTTCCTGCTTTACTGCGGGCTTTTCTTGACAGTTCAACTTCAAGTTGTGTCTCTGGAACAACATCAACACTTGAGGAGGAGGAGCAAGGAGGAGAACGATCCCTCTCCCTGTCTGCAACCTCTGTCCCTTTCTCTATCTCTGTCACTGGCCCGTCTTCTTCCTGTGTTTTCTGCACTGGTCTTCCCTTTCCTCTACTGGTTTTCTTCTTGGGAGGATGATGGCTGTCCGCTGGCAAGTTGTCGTATTGTCTGTTTGTTGGTGTTCCACAATAGTGATATCACATGCTTCAGGAACGATCCTTCCTGTTGACGACCTGGACACGGGGGTTTCCTTACGCCAGCTGGCCACGGGAAAACTTCCAAATTCTCTCTATGACATAGCACACACCCCACACCCCTCACACACTCCTTGCGCTCGTTCCCGAAGACTTAATCATCGGCTCGGCGAAGTGTGGGCCATTGAGGGAATGAAAATCATGCAAATGTCAGGGTGGCATAACACTGTCCTAACACTAGCTTATAGCTGCCTTACAACTGTCTGTGTGTGTGCGGTGTAACACTGTCCTCTCATTGGCTTCATATATATGTGTATGTGTCTGTCTGTCATACATATGTCTGTCTGTTTGTGTTTGTCCATCCGTCTGTCTGAGTATGCTGGTGTATGCCTGTGTATGCCGGTGTATGCCTTTGAGTGTGTCTGTATAATCTTTCCATAATAACTTAATGAGACAACAACCTTCTGCAGAGTAAGTTCTGTGGGAGATACTTTCTGCTTCTTCTTCCTGTGGCAGTGTGCCATCCCCTGACAGTGAGACTCCACCAGAGCAACCTGAAACAGCAACCTTCAGTCAAACTCTGATGATAACTAGAACACACAGATTTCTCATAATCTCTGTAGTAATATGATCTTGTAATCTCTGTGGTAATATGATCTTGTAATCTCTGCAGTAATATGATCTTGTAATCTCTGCAGTAATATGATCTTGTAATCTCTATAGTAACATGATCTTGTAATCTCTGTGGTAATATGATCTTGTAATCTCTGCAGTAATATGATCTTGTAATCTCTGTGGTAATATGATCTTGTAATCTCTGCAGTAATATGATCTTGTAATCTCTGCAGTAATATGATCTTGTAATCTCTGCAGTAATATGATCTTGTAATCTCTGTGGTACTATGATCTTGTAATCTCTGCAGTAATATGATCTTGTAATCTCTGTAGTAATATAATCTTGTAATCTCTGTAGTAATATGATCTTGTAATCTCTGTAGTAACATAATCTTGTAATCTCCGTAGTATTATGATTTTGTAATCTCTGTAGTAATATAATCTTGTAATCTCTGTAGTAATATAATCTTGTAATCTCTGTAGTAATATAATCTTGTAATCTCTGTAGCAATATAATCTTGTAAACTCTGCAGTAATATAATCTTGTAATCTCTGTACTAATATAATCTTGTAATCTCTGAGGTAAAATATCTGCTCACAACCAGGGACAAGTGCTACACATGACTGAACCAAAGACAAGCGCTAAACATGACTGAACCAGGGACAAGTGCTACACATGACTGAACCAGGGACAAGTGATACACATGACTGAACCAGGGACAAGTGCTAAACATGACTGAACTAGGGACAAGTGATACACATGACTGAACCAGGGACAAGTGATACACATGACTGAACCAGGGACAAGTGCTACACATGACTGAACCAGGGACAAGTTGTACACATGACTGAACCAGGGACAAGTGATACACATGACTGAACCAGGGACAAGTGATACACATGACTGAACCAGGGACAAGTGCTACACATGACTGAACCAGGGACAAGTGATACACATGACTGAACTAGGGACAAGTGATACACATGACTGAACCAGGGACAAGTGATACACATGACTGAACTAGGGACAAGTGATACACATGACTGAACCAGGGATAAGTGATACACATGACTGAACCAGGGACAAGTGATACACATGACTGAACCAGGGATAAGTGATACACATGACTGAACCAGGGATAAATGATACACATGACTGAACCAGGGACAAGTGATACACATGACTGAACCAGGGACAAGTGCTAAACATGACTGAACCAGGGACAAGTGATACACATGACTGAACCAGGGACAAGTGATACACATGACTGAACCAGGGACAAGTGATACACATGACTGAACCAGGGACAAGTGCTACACATGACTGAACCAGGGACAAGTGATACACATGACTGAACCAGGGACAAGTGATACACATGACTGAACCAGGGACAAGTGCTAAACATGACTGAACCAGGGACAAGTGATACACATGACTGAACCAGGGACAATAAGTGCTACACATGACTGAACCAGGGACAAGTGATACACATGACTGAACCAGGGACAAGTGATAAACATGACTGAACCAGGGACAAGTGATACACATGACTGAACCAGGGACAAGTGCTACACATGACTGAACCAGGGACAAGTGCTACACATGACTGAACCAGGGACAAGTGCTACACATGACTGAACCAGGGACAAGTGCTACACATGACTGAACCAGGGACAAGTGCTACACATGACTGAACCAGGGACAAGTGCTACACATGACTGAACCAGGGACAAGTGATACACATGACTGAACCAGGGACAAGTGCTACACTGATGACTGAACCAGGGACAAGTGCTGAAGCTACTGTGAAGCTTTTAAATGAATCCTTGCTTGTCTCAGCAATACAAGTACTCCTTATAACGGAGACATAGCAGCAGCTGCAAACATGTCAGTCTAAATAGTCTCCCATGGCTACACCAGGATCAGCTGATCATCAGTTTGAATCTCACATCCCCTGTACAAACCTGGATTTGAGCCTGATTGTCAACACCCAAACTGATGTTCATCACAGTGTTGAACATCGAAACATATACCTTGACACTGCATGGTGTATGAAGATAGTGTACTCCAAGTTAGCAATTCAGCCAGTGATATCTATCTAAACAATCTTCCTATTAGAGTGCTTACAAGTAGTCACAAATCTGACACAAAGTATTATGCCTGACTGACTGAGTTTGGTTCTACGCCGCTTTAAGCAATATTCCAGCAACATCACGGGGGGGGACACCAGAAATGGGCTTCACACATTGTACCCATGTGGGGATTCGAACCTGGGTCTTCGGCGTGACGAACCAACGCTTTAACCATTAGGCTACCCCACCGCCCCACAAAGTATTATGAGTAACACAAGCAAAGACATCATTCACAAGACAGTCCTTTGTGTCTGATCCTGTATAAACAACAGTAAAGCAGATTAATCAAAGGATGATGCACTAGGACTTTGTTCGGAAAAGTTTGGTCAACAGGTCAATGACCCCATGATAAACATTTTTTACCTGCACCACTAGAATCAGCCTTCCCAACAACTAATCTTGCAAGCCATGCTATCTCTGAAGTACTGTTCAAAGTGACATTGAATCAAACCAATTCACTCATAAAAATCTCTACACAACAAAGTGATGAAACAGATCATTTCAGATGGATATTTCTGACTACTTCCAGCCATGAATAATTGGCAAAACAATGCTGATGAAAACTATGCAAGTAATCCCTTTAAAATTAGCTGTGTGTTGTTGAGACTCTTTCTTTGATAATGCATGTTTTCATCTTACTGCAACCACTTATGGAATGACAAAAAATATGCACAGTGAAATAAGAATTCTTTGAAACATCTTCTGTATCCACTGAAATGTCCAACCATAACTTTCATTTGTCTTCAATGTTTATTTCTGAGTATTTTGAGAGTCGCTCTCTACTTCAACAAACCAGTGTACCGAACAGAAACAATTCTGTAGTAAAATTAGAACAATTATTGACCAACCTGTGTCTTCACAGCTCTGTATAGAATGTTTTCTTGGCTGGGGCAATACTCAGATACATCCTGAAAGTAAGACCAATACACATGTAACAGGCCATCTAGGGATGAGAGACTGGCTCACTTGAGGTGCTGGTGTCGAGCAGACGCATATAAACACAAGTATATCAGCAAACAATAATATTAAAGATTAAATCACTGAAAACATTCAAGACATATACGAACATGTTGGATGGGTCTTTTTGAGTACAGCAGCATCCATTATTAGTCCACACAAGTGAAATCTATAATGCTAGAAGTTATTTATATGCTGTTTCTTGTTTGGGTTTTGTCAAAACACGCAGCCACATTGTCCTTCTAAGAACTTGTGTTATTTGTAAACATTAGGACCAGAATCTTTCTGGCAATAATGTTTGCATGAAGTCTTTCATCTGAGATGTTTTTATATTTTTATCTAAATTTAGGATACTTTAAAAAGAAAGATTTCAGCAGAGGTGTTAATGAGTATATTAGACCAAGATATACTGGTTAGGATGGGCCTATTATTAGTGCTCAAATTTGTGAAAAAGATCTTTGACTGTTGAAAAAGGGACGCTTATCACAGCTCTTGTTAAGACTTCAGTATAAAGTTTGAAGATGTTGAAGCAAGCAATACTACACTTAATTTAAAACTGTTACCTTCAAAATGAATTCTTTCAGCATTGATTTTCTTGTTGGTTGCTCATGGCAAACAACCACTACGTCTTCTACTTCTGTGTTTGGGCATGCACATTATCAGTAATGATGTATATAATCAGTCAGGACACTAACAAACATAGGGTGCTGAGACTGAGAATCACTGACGAGGAGAAGCATGACTGTAATGTTGGGATGACGATGATGATGCCTACAATGACGAGGAAAAGCGTGACTGCAATGTCCGGGTGGATGCTAATGACAACACCATGAAGCTGTGGCATCATCGAGCATCAGTTTAAATGCACAGAACAGGCCAATACTCTTGTGAAAGAGGGGAAGCTATCTAGCTGTTACAGACACTACACCCAACCACTGGGTTACCATCATCCGTACAAGAGTGACGTGGGAAGTCATCTTTCGTAATTATGGAATTGGGTCTTTTGATGATTACAAAGAATGTGTTTCCTAAATGGATAACTGAAGCACTCTTTGTTGTATGACACATTGCAAGTGTTTGAGTCTAAGATCATAAGCAAAACAATTCGGCATCCTCAAAATGCAGAAATTAGGAAGCTTGATTCATTATCAAGAACAAATGACCGTAGTTTTTAAATAAAATGATTACCACTGAAGGATTATGTAAATATTTCAAATAAGGCATCTGGATTCTCTTCTGCAGGGACATGCATGATATAAACTAGATGTTTCTGCTGCTGTCTTTGCTACACACACAGAGGATGAAGCGTGTCATATATCCTACGCTAAAACAGTTATTATTGCCTATTACGATAGTTAATCTGTCATGGCAAAAAGAGGTTGCTCCTTAAGTTGTTTGAGTGTTTGTGTGTTATGTAGCGTATACAATCATCCAGATCCAGTGTAACAACTGAGTTCTGTGATCCTGCTGGAGGGGAGGAGTGGACAGACTCACCTTGGATCATTACACTTAGTTTAATAACACACCATGGCAGAAAACCAATTACCTCCAGGCAACACATCACATAAAACTTTAAACTGAGTGTTCAAATAATCACATACACACAGTGCAGCATGATTAATTTGAAAATAATAAAGATCTGACTTGATGTAACATGAAGTTATATGCCGACTGTTGTTTAACCCCCTGGATGCCACAGGGACATATATGTCCTTCCCCTTCAACCCTCAATTTCAAGTCCAATAAAAATCAAAATATCCCATGCACATAAATACACTTCACAGTTTCGAATTCTGTGGGAAATTTCCTGTTTCTTGATACCATCCACTATTATTTTAGACAAAGCTCAAGTGCTGAAAATGACCTTTCAAAATAGGCTTCATCGAAAATGTCGCCATTTTTGACACAGTACAAAATCGCGATTCACAGCGTTATTTGCTGTATATTTTGAAATGTGAAAATCGGATAATTACTGGGAGTACTGAATTTAAAAAATAACATATTAATGAACACTGATATCACTTTTACATGAAATCGCTAATGATAATTCTTAAACGTTGCCAATGAATCTAGAATCGGTTGGGATGTTTTCGAAAATACACTTACACGAACGCCGTAGAGCGCTTTCTGCCATATTGGATAGTGTTTACAAAATCACGTCAAACTGTCTAATTGTTGATATATTCAGGACACTATTTAAATGGAAAAACCAGTCATTTTATGTTTTGTCTAAAGAGTGTTAATTCTGACAAAGAAGCCGAGACCTTTCACACAATTAATGGAATTAGGTGAGATATATACTAGTCAGCATACCAATGTCGTCTTTTTCCAACGTCGCAAAACGCACAAAACAAGCAATGACATCAACTAAAATGTTGTATTATTTTCAGCAATTTCATTACATTTGAAGATATGGCTAGTACTCTGGTAATAACGATGCAAAATTAGTCAAAGTACATCTACACAAACAGGAGAATATGGGAATCTAAGAACTAACTTATATATCGGATAGGGCCATCCAAATCGCTATTACGTGCTTTCACATGTAGTACGTTGTCATCTTTTCTTATAAATTGTGAAACTACCAAAGCGTATCCGCTCTTATTGGGGAACTTTGAATTGGAATAGTTTGGTTCACCGTGAACAAAAACTAACGAGAATATAGCGTCCGTATCCACAACAAATACTCTACATGTGATTTGAGTTACATTGACCTAGTATTAAGCATAACAGAGTTATGCCCCCTTATCATTATTACGTGTATGACCTCTCTGTCGTCGTTTGACGTCGTAGAAGAAAATCCATTTTTGACAATTATTGCGAGTCATTTTTAATGTTGAGTGCATAAAGTTATACATAAGCACATAAATCCAATTCATATACACTATGTCGTTCAGATATCAGGCTGTATTTTCTTCACTCACACTTTCCGTAAAGATGGCAAAATAAAAAATTCGTAGCACAGTGCTTTTATCGGTGCGCGATAAAAAGCGGAGAAATCTACTGTTTTTTAACGCATAACAAAAATTTTGACAACATTTAGCAAGGTCTATTTCTCAAACCGCCGAGGTAGTTGCACTTATATTAATACCAACGGATAGGAAATTTAATATTCTACACTTCTGTGTAATTTTATAGCCTTACGTAGATCCAGGACCACGCGAGCGCAATTCTCGCACAACGTTCACTTTTCAAAGCATATGAAAATGTGCGCCTGAAAAAAAACTCGGCATCAAGGGGGTTAAGGGCTGGATCACGTACATCAGAATTGAAGTTCACCAGGACATATCTGTGTCTGCACCAGGCACCCCAGAACACACCTGTGTCTAGACCAGGCCCACCAAAACATACCTGTGTCTGGACCAGTTCACCAGAACATACCTGTGTCTACACCAGGCACCCCAGAACATACCTGTGTCTAGACCAGGCCCACCAGAATGTACCTGAATCTGGACCAGGTTCACCAGAACACACCTGTGTCTAGACCAGGCACCCCAGAACATACCTGTGTCTACACCAGGCACCCTAGAACATACCTGAGTCTGGACCAGGTTCCCCAGAACATACCTGTGTCTAGACCAAGCCCACCAGAACGTACCTGAGTCTGGACCAGGTTCATCAGAATATACCTTGTGTCTACACCAGGTACGCCAGAACATACCTGTGTCTACACCAGGTACGCCAGAACATACCTTGTGTCTACACCAGGTATGCCAGAACATACCTGTGTCTACACCAGGTACGCCAGAACATACCTGTGTCTGGACCAGGCCCACCAGAATATACCTGAGTCTGAACCAGGTTCACCAGAACATACCTGTGTCTGGACCAGGCCCACCAGGACATACCTGAGTCTGAACCAGGTTCACCAGAACATACCTGTGTCTGGACCAGGCCCACCAGGACATACCTGAGTCTGGACCAGGCCCACCAGGACATACCTGAGTCTTGACCAGGCACACCCAGAACACACCTGTGTCTGGACCAGGCAGAACATACACCTCTGTCTCACCAGACCACCCCAGAACATACCTGTGTCTGGACCAGGCACCCGAGAACATACCTGAGTCTGGACCAGGTTCACCAGAACATACCAGTCTACCTCACCAGAACATGCCTGTGTCTGGAATATGTCTGGACCAGGCACACCAGGTCTGGTACACCCACACCCACCAGAACATACCTGTGTCTGGACCAGGCATACCCAGAACATACCTGTGTCTGAGTATGGACCAGGTGTCACCCAGGCACCCCAAGAACATACCTGTGTCTGGTCCAGGTTCACCAGAACACAGGACATACCAGGTCTGGACCAGGTTCACCAGAACACACCTGTGTCTGGACCAGGGCAGGCCCACCAACACACCCAGGCACCCCAGAACATACCTGAGTATGGACCAGACACCCCAGAACAACATACCTGAGTCTGGTTCACCAGAACCACCTGTGGCACCCAGAACATACATCCACCAGAACATGTGTCTGGACCAGGCACCAGAACATACCTGCGTCTCGACCAGGTTCACCAGAACACACCTGAGTCTGGACCAGGCACACCTGAAAATACCTGAGTCTGGACCAGGTTCACCAGAACACACCTGTGTCTGAACCAGGCCCACCAGGACATGCAAGCAGTCATCCAGGCAATCAGTCAGTCACCAATCTTAATGACATGGGACAATCACTGGTATTTCACTCTTACTAAATGTACAGGCATGGCTATCTGGTGGTGGGTGGTGGTGTCACCTACCTGGGGGAGGTGTGGACAGTCCAGCCACTCTGCGGTCAGCTGCTGTTCACTCAGACCCTCAGTCCTGCAGCAGAGACAAACAAAGCTATAATTAGTAAGTCCATATGAAGAACATCAGACCAATCCATAATACTCTACAGATTACATCCTTCATGTATAGTGTCATCTAGTGGTCATTATCAAGACATTTTAGTGTGCCAAAAGGTGAGGTGAAACTGGGTTTAACGTCGTACTTGAGAATATTTCGCTCATATGGCGATGTGCATGCGTGTGTGTATGTGCGGCTGCTTGTACTAGCCCAGACTGAAGCTGGTTTTATAGTGCTAGCCAACTGAGATACCATGCCGCAGTGAAGCATGAATACCCCACTCAGACACATTATACTGACTCCGAGGCGACCAGTCCTTGTTGTACCCATTAATGCCGAGCGCCAGGCAGGAACCAACAAGTACCATATTTTAACGTCTTTTGGTATGATGCGGTCGGGGATCGAACCCGCGACCTTCCACTCTCCGGGCGGATGCTCTAACCACAACACCACGGAGGCGGTCAGTGATGCCAAGAAGTGATTACCCCTTTCCATAATAAATACATATCTATGCTGAAATCAGAGTCTATTGTATGATACAGGCTCTATATTAAGCATATATATATGAACACTATCCAGTAGGGTTGACACCAGCCCTTCCATACAGGAGATCAGCCATTTGTCTGTGAACAGCAGACCATATTGACAGTAGCAATGACCACTGTCTATTAACAACAGACTAATTAGTGACTGTAATGTAACCACTAACAGCACTAACAACAGACTGTTACTTGTCCACTAACAACAGATGTATTACCTGTCTATTAACAACAGACTAATCACTTGTCCACTAACAGCACTAGGTGCCTGTCTATTAACAACAGACTAATTAGTGGTCCACTAACAGCACTAGGTGCCTGTCTATTAACAACAGACTAATTAGTGGTCCACTAACAGCACTAGGTGCCTGTCTATTAACAACAGACTAATTAGTGGTCCACTAACAGCACTAGGTGCCTGTCTATTAACAACAGACTAATCACTTGTCCACTAACAGAACTAGGTGCCTGTCTACTAACAACAGACTAATTAGTTGTCCACTAACAGCACTAGGAGCTTGTCTATTAACAACAGACTCATTATTTGTCCACTAACAGAACTAGGTGCCTGTCTATTAACAACAGACTAATTAGTGGTCCACTAACAGAACTAGGTGCCTGGCTGTTAACTGAAACAATTCCTTAATCACTATTGATTCTGATATGAAAGACCTGCTCTGGCCTGTATTTCTATTCATATTTCATTTTTGTAAAAAGCTTCAGTCCTGTCCCCTTCCTCCCCTGGGAGACCGCCATTAGACAGCATCATGCCACATGTTCCATGACAGCTCTGTCATGGAGAGCCAAGCTTTGATATTTCAAATTACACAATATTTCTCTTAATCCTTCAATTCCAGGCTTCTGATGCCTGAATGAGGAACCAGTAATATAATTTAGATTCCAGGATTACTGAAGAACTTTGCTGTCCAATCAGCCTCTGAAGTTAATGAAAACTACTGTTCAACAATGAAACCAGCTTCCTCACACTCAGTCAGTGCCTGTGTCCATACATATACACACAAATGTTTGATTAGACTTGTACTATTTTTAGATGGGAAGATTCTCAACAATTCACAAGTCCAGGTTTAGGGGAAAACAGACTGATGAGTAGTTTCTGATGGTGATGAATACAATGATCAAGTTGATGATCAACATTATAATGTAATAGACATTGCAAACATTGTAACAATGCTGTAGAACAAGGCTGTATAACAATGCTGTGTAACAATGTTGTGTAGCAAGGCTGTATAACAATGAAGTGTAACAAGGCCGTATAACAATGCTGTATAACAATTGTGTGTAGCAAGGCTGCATAACAAGGCTGTATAACAATGCTGTATAACAAGGCTCTAGAACAATGCTGTATAAGAATTGTGTGTAGCAAGGTTGTATTAACAATAAAACAAGGCTGTGTAACAATGCTGTAGAACAAGGCTGTATAACTCCGCTGTATAACAAGGCTGTAGAACAATGCTGTATAACAATTGTGTGTAGCAAGGTTGTATTAACAATGCTGTATAACAATTGTGTGTAGCAAGGCTGTATAGCAAGGCTGTATAACAATGCTGTAGAACAAGGCTGTATAACAATGCTGCATAACAATGCTATATAACAATGCTGTATAACAATTGGGTGTACCAAGGCTGTATAACAATGCTGCATAACATACCTGTGTAACAAGGCTGTATAACAAGGCTGTGTAACAATGCTGTATAACAATGCTGTGTAACAATTGTGTGTAACAAGGCTGTATAACAATGCTGTGTAACAAGGCTGTATAACAATGCTGTGTAACAAGGCTGTATAACAATGCTGTATAACAATGCTGTATAACAATGCTGTATAACAATGCTGTGTAACAAGGCTGTATAACAATGCTGTGTAACAATGCTGTAGAACAAGGCTGTATAACAAGGCTGAGTAACAATGTTGTGTAGCAAGGCTGTATAACAATGCTGTGTAACAAGGCTGTATAACAATGCTGTGTAACATTGCTGTAGAACAAGGCTGTATAACAAGGCTGTATAACAATTGTGTGTGGCAAGGCTGTAGAACAAGGCTGTAGAACAAAGCTGTATAAAAATTGTGTGTAGCAAGGCTGTATAACAATGCTGTATAACAAGGCTGTGCAACAATGTTGTGTAACAAGGCTGTATAACAATGCTGTATAACAATGTTGTGTAACAAGGCTGTATAACAATGCTGTGTAACAAGGCTGTATAACAATGCTGTAAAACAATGCTGTGGAACCAGGCTGTATAACAATGTTGTGGAACAATGCTGTATAACAAGGCTGTGTAACAAGGCTGTGTAACAATTGTGTGTAGCAAGGCTGTATAACAATGCTGTAGAACAAGTCTGTAGAACAATGCTGTATAACAATTGTGTGTAGCAAGGCTGTATAACAAGGCTGTATAACAATGCTGTGTAACAAGGCTGTATAACAATGCTGTATAACAATGTTGTGTAACAATGCTGTATAACAATGCTGTATAACAATGCTGTATAACAAGGCTGTATAACAATGCTGTATAACAAGGCTGTGTAACAATGCTGTGGAACGAGGCTGTACAACAATGCTGTGTAACAATGCTGTATAACAAGGCTGTATAACAAGTCAATGGTTACTGAAGACCAAAACATTCTAACCCGGATCTTCACAGGTAGTGTCCAATGAACTTCTTCGAGAGCAATGTGGTTTTGTTAGTCCGACATTAGATGATTTACGCCTGACAAAAATATACTGAACATCATTGAAAACACACCACCTGTACTAGTTTGGATTTCCAAGATTATAATTGAGCAATCGGTGTAAATTTTACATACTTTTGTAGTCCAATGATTGGTAAAGAAAAGAAGCAAGAACTAATCCTGCAAAACAGTGAAGTTTTAATTCAGCTGACCATGAAAGAAAGATGGAGTCAAATTGGAAAGTCAGTAACATGTATGACCACCATTAGCAGCAACACAAGCTGTGCAACGTCTCCTCATTGAACTGATAAGTCTCTGAATAATGTTTTGAGGCAATGCATTCCACTCTTGTTGCAAGGCATTCTCAAGTTCCCCAAGGTTGTTGATCTGTGGGCGACGTGAGAGGCGTTGGCTGATGTAATCCCACAAGTGTTCAGTGGGAGACAAATCTGGTGACAATGCAAGCCATGGAAGTAGAGGAATGTTGTTGTTTGCCAGAAACTGTGTTTCAACACGTGCAGTGTGCGCTCGAGCATTGTCCTGCTGGAATGTGTGCAGATCTTGATGTTGGTTAAAGAAGGGAACGAGGTTGTTCTGAAGAATGGTGTCACGGTAGTAAAGGGCATTTACTCTGCCACGACAAACTACCAGAGCGGTTTTATGATGATAACTGATCCCGCCCCACACCATAATGCTTCCTCCACCCCACCGATCTGTTTGCACAACACAGTCCTGATGGTAACGTTCTCCCCGTCGACGCCATACCTGTAGACGCCCATCAGCATTTCGCAAGTGAAATCGTGACTAATCGGAGAACAAAACACCATGCCAACGTCGTAACAACCACAAACGATGCTGTTCAGCCCATCGTCAGCATTCACGGCGATGTCTATCAGTCAGGATGGGTCCAACATAAGGGCGTCGACACCGTAATCCTGCTGCACAGAGACGGCGTCGGACACTGGAAGCACTGATCAAACCATGTCTGCCTTGGACAGCGTTGGTGGTTCTGGCAGCCGGCAACGTACCATCCCGAATATGGCACCGAACAATGTCTCGATCTTGGTGAGGGGTGGTAACACGTACCTGGCCAGGACGTTGGCAGTCCCTTGTGGTTCCTGTTTGTTGGTACCTGTTGGCAAGTCTTATGATGGTGGAAAGATGGCAACCAAATCGTCTGGCAATAATCCTGCTTGATGTGCCAACCTGCAACATGCCCAACGCCCGTTCTCGTTCCTCTGGTGACAATCTTGGCATTGCAAAATAAACTTTACTTGTGGAGGTACTGCTAAAATGAGGATGTTTTTTGCCGACGGTCATTTATACCCCTAATCAGCATGTTTAACGCATAATGTACAGCATTATTTATTGTCTTTTGTGTTATTAACAACATTTCCAACGTTCATTTTCACTCTCAAAACAATCCTATTACCATATTTCAAAATTTACAGGTGGTGTGTTTTCAATGATGTTCAGTATATTATTGAAAAAGTCAGCACAAAACCTGGATCTGCAAGAAACTTGAATTCGTTATTGCCTTGAAGTATTATTTATAGGTTAACTTTTTATCAATGTAATGTTTCAAATAGGCGACAGCTGCATCCTACAGCTGAATGGCTTACTTCTTTGGTGGATCAATCTACATGATTGGGATATGATGATATCTTTCAGCCAAGTAAGCGAGCCTGACCACCCGATCCCGTTAGTCATCTCTTACAACAAGCATGAGCTACTGAAGATCAAGTC